CCCCATCCCACGTCTCCCTCCTCGTCGGTCCCCATCCCACGTCTCCCTCCTCGTCGGTCCCCATCCCACGTCTCCCTCCTCGTCGGTCTCCTTTTATCTCGTTTCCCTCCTCGTCAGTCGTCTTCTCTTGTTTCCCTCCTCACCAGTCCTGACTGTCATTCTGCTTTTGTTTCTGTTATTGTTCTCGGACTCCAATGTCTCCAGGTCCCTTCTTCCGGTACCAGACGTATGTCGACTGGCTCCAGCAGCCCTGCCCCAGGGAGCTCCCGGGTCGTGTCCCGTGCCTCCAGCGCCTGAGATTCGTGCCTCTTTATGCAGTGTTCTTCCTGATTGTCAATCACTACTTTCCCCTGGCTTACGTAAGGACAGAGGAGTACCTTGACCATCATTTCCTCTTTAGGTACGAGTTATTCCAGGCTTCATTCTTTCTGTGTTTCCATGATCTGCCATTTAGTCCCAGTATGAGTCTTGTCATGCCTTACAGTCGATGACACATGTGACCTGTTGTGGGCGGTCCTCCATATTGGTTCCTTTCTCTGCTGCAGGTTGTTCTACATGACGGCAGTGTTCTTCGTCTTCCGGATGAGGTTTTACGCCGCTTGGTGTGGTGCAGAGGCCGGCTGTATCAGCTCGGGGCTGGGCTGTTACCCAGAGGGGGCACAGTCCAAACCAGGAGGCGGGCCCAGTGTTCAGTACAGGTTTATATACAGTAGAGCTCTGTAGTTATTTTTCTGTTTGTTGGTGTAAGTGGATCCTTAAGCTTTTCCACCAATTAACTTACTTCCCTTTAACAAATAGTGTAATAGTGGTTTCCCTCTGCATTATATCGTCTTACTCACTCTCTTAATATTTTTCCTTCTGTATGTTTCACGCCCCCTACAATCTTTTGATAAGTGCCCATAATAGCACAATACTGCATAATAAATGGACTAAGGCATGCATATTAAAAAGTAGATAATTCCTATATATGAGTGTTCTTTGCCTCCAAATGAAAATGGCGAAGCCACACAAGCTCAAACTCCACATCGTTAATGGTTTAAACCTGCCTGCCTTTGTTCAGCTCCGATCCTGCCTCAGCCACCTATGACTTCAGAACCATCCAGAACATCGACTGCTACAACACCGACTTCTGCGTCAAAGTCAGGCACGGCATGAAATACTGGAACATGACTGTGCAGTGGTGGCTGCATCAGTACATCTATGCCAAGGCACCCTTCAAAGCTTACACGCTCAAGTAAGACTTCACCCCACCGTCTAATGGGCGTGTTTGGCCTAACATTGGCGTCAATATGAAATGCCATGATTAATGTTTGCAGCGTGCATTCTTTGTTTCTAGAAAAACTCAGACCTTTAGCCTTGTCCTGGATAATTTTCTCTGATTCCCTCTAATTTGTAAACATGTATTAGAATCGCCTAAACGAATGTGTTGTACCTTCTGATTTTTGTATCAGAAAACGAGCATAAACCGCTTGACTAGTATGGTTAAGTGGAAGCTCAATGGCTGCCTCTATGCCTTTCTTAGGGCTGCCTGGACCATGTTCATCAGCGCTTACTGGCACGGGATCCACGCTGGCTACTACCTGTCATTCCTCACCATTCCTCTCTGCATGGGGGCGGAGTCTGCTCTCGAGAGTACCGTGCGAGCCAAACTGGGTCCACAGGGTCAGAACATCTTCGACTGGATTCACTGGTTCCTCAAGATGAGAGCTTATGATTATATGTGCATGGGCTTTGTTCTGCTGAGCTTCAGTGATACGATCAACTACTGGAGCTCAATCTTCTTCTGCATCCATGTCATAGCTGTGATGTGTATGGGGTTAGGGATGCTATTGAAGGGAGGGAAACAGGAGAGGAAACTGGAGCGAGAGTGCAGAAATGACGAGGATGGGAAACGGGAAACAAGGACCGAGGGATAAGTGGAGACATGTTTGCCAAAGACGCCAGCACACAGTTAAGGAAGGAAAACAATTGTTATGCGTTTTGTAAGGTTTGTACTGCACCTGCTGTGGAAAAGGCATTAGAGACAAAAATTATAAACATTTTGTACAATAACACAAGAGTTTTAAAAAAATACATTGATATGACGGTACTTGGCTCAACATTTAGTCCTTGGTGTTTTTCGGTGCCAATTAACACCATGAGTATTGCTTAGCTAAAATGTGCGGTTTAAAGGGATGGCATTCATTATGTAGTAAACAAACTGTAAAGTTTCACGAGACCCTGTTTAGCTGCAGCATGTCTGTTTAAATTCTATCCGAAACTGCTTATTTTGTTAAAGCCATAGTGAAGAAATGGAAACTAATTAAATGGTGATCCTGTACAATGGCACAGTCGTTTCACGGCATTTTTAGAGTTTACAAAGGTATTTATTTCATTGTTCCGAGGTGTGTGTTTAAGTGACTGCAGGGTCCTAACCCTCACGGCGAGTGTTGGATCGTTTGTCGGGGGCTGAAATGTGATTTTATGCACCTTGTGGTCTTTAGTATTATTAACATTGTTACACATTGGAACAAAAATGTATTGCTGATATTTGTACTCGCAATGGAATACTTTTCAAATTGTATGTAATTTAATAGCAGATTAATATGGCAATCTCCCAGGTAAAATGGTTCCGTGTGTAAAATGAAGCTGGAGTAGCTGCAGACCTAATATTACAATGAGTTTTTATGGTAAAGGGGGTGTTTTGTATATGTACAATGGTTCAGGCAGTCTCAATGATATTTTTAATATGCTCACTTTGGGTCCCTAATTTTTTGAATAATTGTAATCTGGGGATTCGGATTCTTCTGTTTAAGAAATAGTTTTAGTTTCACGAAAGGCAGCTTTGAGATCTTGTCCACTTTGTGTCATGAAGCTCTGAGTCTTGTCTCTTACTGCCAGTATATAAGAGCTGCCTCCTGAACAGGTTGCCATCGAGGCGACAGACCAACACGTCTTTCAGCGCGTTTTCATAACCTTCATTTCAGACAAGTAGTTCCCTTCACTTAGGGGCTGAATAAAAATAATAACAAATGAATGAAAATCTAGATTGTGTCTGTTCTTTGTTCGTGGTTCATTAATATAGCCCATGTTTACAACCTACATCAGCTGATTAGATTGTATCGTGATGTCCAGAGCAGAGGAATTTGAAACATGCTCCCCCCCCCCCCCCAAAAAAAAAGAATCTGCCAAAGTCTTATTTTTCTTCTATTTTTCTCTGTGAATTGTCCTGACTGAAAGTGCCCTCCCACTAGAGTAAAAATAACATGGCCGTTACCAGTATGGAGGCCTCTCATCTAAATTACTCATGTACCCTAGAAACGTATTGTGTTTACATATTTCAGTGGCATATTTATGAGTGCCATAAATTCTCTAAAGCTCAGTAATGGATATAAGGTGTTATCTGGAAAATCAATTAACTGTTACCCTATGCTTTATCCATCCATTTTTAACTGCTGATCCTGGTCAGGGTCTTGAGAGGGGAAGGAGTCTATCCCAGGCAGCATAGGGCATGGGGCTGGGGGACACCCTGGACGGGATGCCGGTCCATCATGGGGCTGAAGGACACCCTGGACGGGATGCCGGTCCAACAAAGGGGATGAGGCTGGGGGACACACTGTACAGGATGCTGGTCCATCATGGGGCTGGGGGACACACTGGACAGGATGCTGGTCCATCATGGGTGCTGGAGGACACCCTGGATGGGATGCCGGTCCATCATGGGGCTGAAGGACACCCTGGACGGGATGCCGGTCCAACACAGGGGACGGGGCTGGGGGACACACTGGACGGGATGCTGGTCCATCATGGGGCTGGGAGACACACTGGATGGGATGCTAGTCCATCATGGGTGCTGGTCACAGGATGCTGGTCACAGGGCACACACTCTAGAATTAGTATATATTAATTGGAAATTTCTTGTTTTCTGTCTGCAATAATTTACCCAAGGGAGTACAAGATAGCAAGGTGAACCGTTTTAAAAACTTTCAGATGAAAAAGGCCCTGGTTTATATAACTTGAGGTAGCTACATGTAACAGCGGAATAGCTTTTCTGTTAAACCGAGACGGACCATAGATACAGAGATGGCAGTCTCTGTTAAACTGAGACAGGCCATAGAGACAGAGCTGGCAGTCTCTGTTAAACCAAGATGGACCATAGACACAGAGCTGGCAGTCCTTTTTTGAGCTGCTGTTTTGTTTTAATTTCCTGTAATTCAATCCAACTCTGATACCCAGATATTTCATCCATTCATAGAGTTATTATGCAAGGCACATCCAACACACAACTATCGACTACACCAACCTGTTTAATTCTTGTTTATAAATAAAGGACCACCTACTAAGGCGTTTGTGTTTTTTGTTGTTGTTTGAAAACTCTGCAGTTTGACATACATGCTGGATATTTCAGATAAAATGTAGTATCTGAGTATTGGGTTGGGCAGTATAATGTTTACAGTGGAGGTTTTGAAGGGGTTAAGATATACAAGGAAGTTGGTGAACATTTGCATAGGGAACAAAGTCCAGGTGACATCTTCCTGGAAGGTAAACCAGTGGGGAAATGAGATAGAGGGAGCTGTTTTGAATTTTGTGAATGGTTCTTTGAAGTCCAAATGTATTTCTGCAGTGAGTAAACCCTTCGCTGAAAAGTGTCCGTGAGAAGCAGAGGTGGTGAACCAGCATGTCCTGGGCGAGAGAGAGGCAGACCTTAGATGCAGGTGGTAAAATGCTTCAGCTTTTAAATGTCCGGGCCGTGTGTGTGATTCATTTTCCATTTCTTTTTCAGGATTCACAATCTGCATTGTGTTTTCTGTCTTGTCAGTAAAGAAAAATACAATTGTAACAAAAATATCTGTTCTCTGCATATGAACGGGGTACATCTGATTGAACGTCACTTCCTTAATGAAATTTGTCTTTTTAACCGTTGTGTCTGATGCCTTTCCCCGGTCTCTCTGATTTTGATCCATAGGTCAGATTCACTATGGCCCCCATCAGTCATTGAGACTGAGGGAGAGGCCCTCTAATTCAGCTGTCCAGCGTCCTCCTCAGTTCAACTGGAATGCCGACCAGCCAGAAGAGGGGGCCAAAGGCAGGCCCCGGAACCTCAAAGAGCTCCCTCTACCCATGGAGCTCAAAAAGGCCATAAGGTATCAGAGCCAGTGAAAGCCTGAGGCAATGTCAGAGGCAGTTATTTGTGTGCGGCGTGATCAGAGTGGTTATATGTCTGGTAATATGCAAAAACCAAGAAGGGCGGAATGAAGTGTATGATGTTATTCTACGTGTATATTTTTATTATCAGAATTTAAATATGACATAGGCCATAGAATTAATTTAACGATGCTCATTTAATTGAAAGTAACATTTTCTCATTTTTCATGTCAGAACAAATAGGATCTCCTTCAATTAGATTAAATGTGCATTAAATTAACAATGTACCTATAAGTGCTTGTTATTTACTAACAGTTTAACAATTATAGTAATGCACATACATCTACTCATGTGACCCTGACCGGGACACATGGTTAGAAGATGGATGGATGGATGGATGGATGGATGGATGGATGTCTTTACCTGTGTCACTTACCTTAGTATTTTGTGAATGCAGACAAGTACAGCAGATGAAAGTGCCAGTAATGTCTAACTGGCAGTCATGGAAGATCAGCAAGTCCAAGACCATGAAGAGGTTTCTAGAAGAATCAAGGGAAGTTCTAGCTTATGTCGCGCCATGGCGGAGAACTCTACACAAAATTGGGGGTGAGACAAACACCTCCTAACATTCCGGTTCTTGGCCATATTTTGTAGTGAAATGGTCTCATTTAGGTTTGTGATCACACTGATTCATTCCTGAATGCCTGTTTCGCCTTCCCACCAGGGCACTTCGGCGGTGGTGTCCAGTCCTACTTCCTGTTTCTGCGCTTTCTTGTCGTGCTCAACTTCCTGTCATTCTTGCTGATTGCGGGGTTTGTCCTGGCCCCTAGCATTGTCTTTCAGTCCAGTCCTGGCAACTCAGAAACTCAAAACAGCATCGGTAAGACCAGTCTGACAACTAGCAACAGCTTTGATTACCTGGACAGTAATAATATCGGGTGCATGTTTTCTTTAAGGGAGAATACTTACCAGCGTGTGATATTTGTTTTGCTGGTTTGGAAAAATTCACATATCAGATATAACAGTCACAGTCCCCTGTATCTCTGGTGGGTCCATAACCACATCCGTGAAGAGGATGCTTGACATTTCAGCACCAATGTGTTGCAATGTCGGGCTCTATTTAATTATTTGTTAATCATTGAAGTTGTTGCTTACAGTACAGCGCTATCTATTATTGCAACGAACTCAGAGCCACCCAGGACATCTCTGTGGTTACGGACTTAATTACACATCACAATCTAAACTGACAGTAAATGTACTTTATAATTTCACTGTGTGTTTGGCTCACTAATGTGTCTGCGTTACCCCCTGAAACTGTATTCTAGCAACCTCCTTGCTTCACATAATTAGTTTTTCAAGTCTCAAATAACAATGAGATGAAGTGAAAGAAAAAAACTATTTTCAAAATAAAGATCTGGCAAAGATAATCAGCTTTTGAGTTTAACTTCACTGATGATTCATGGTCAGTGGGAATCGTGTTGAATTATGTACACCAGCTGTGTTTTCTTTCTTTCGTACTGTTTATTTAGATCAAATAGAATGCATGATCTACAGTCCCGAGCCTCAGAGCCTCTCAGTCTTTTACCAATATTTTCTTGACCTGCTCACTGGAATGGTGAGGAAACCAGTCAACCAGATTAGCTGTTATTTTGCCTCATACATATTGTCCTTGATACATTCGCATTCATGAGCATCCATCAAATGAACAAAGAGCTGCTTCTGCCTCACAAGACTTCTCCTCTTCCCCAGGGGTTTATGGAGTACTCATACCTTTTTTACGGTTTCTATAACAATACGGAGATGATGAACTTGCAGCTCTCCTACAACATTCCCATGGCGTACCTGCTAACAACAGCTTTCTACTTCATCTTCTGCTTGATCTGCATAGTCCTCCGGTGAGTGAACAGACCTAGGCCATGTTCCACGAAATATTTGCCATCTAGCCCTCTTGGGCATGCACAGTGACGGCTCTCTCACTTATAATCCCTGCAATCTCTGCAATCGGGATGAACACAACAAAATTCTTGATAAAAGGCAGTTTTGTTGAGAGTTCACACATTTTGTCCTTAAAAGTCTTAGTTTTATCTTTCTGAAGTTCATGGGGACATGATCTGGTGTTTCCATGTTTTTATACTGTACACCCAGTGTCTGATCAGCCCTGTGGTTCTGTGATTGCAGGATGGGGGCCGTAATCCGTGATGTTGTGAAAACGGGCGGAAGGGCAGTGGGGGGATACAGTACACTGGTCTTCACAGCCTGGGATTACGGTCTCCAAGGTAACCGAGCCACCAACCTGAAACAGAACAACATCCGTTACCAGTTACAGGTACGTGTTCCTACATGTGTGATGATCCATGCGTGTGCTGCGTGAGATCTGCACACTGTGTGTGATGATCCATGCGTGTGCTGCGTGAGATCTGCACACTGTGTGTGATGATACATGCGTGTGCTGCGTGAGATCTGCACAATGTATATGATGATTCATGCATGTGTTGCATGAGATCTGCATGCTGTGTGTGATGATACATGCGTGTGCTATATGACATCTGCACACTGTGTGTGATGAGACATGCATATGCTGCATGAGATCTACACACTGTGTGTTGCGTGCTCCTGTCTGTCATTCGCTCCCTCAACATTGCCTCCTTAGATGGACCTAGAGGAGGAGCGCATCAGGAAGGTGGCTGCATCCCTGACAATGGCACAAACTGTGCGCCTGTACTCGCTGCGTGCCTTCCTCAACCTCGTGGTCTTCGGGCTGATCGGTGCAGCGTTCTACGCCATATTCAAGGCTACACAGTTCAGCCAGGTTAAGCTTTTTGGCAGTCCTTGCTTTTCTTTGGCAAGTAACAAATAGCAATCCACACTTTTATCCCTTACTCACGCCTGCTTCTCTAACCCATAACATATGTTGCCTTTAGAGCCAGACAGGGGGAGACTTTCTGGACCTAATTGTGCAGTACCTGCCCTCAATTGTCATAACAGCAGCAAACTTCCTGGTGCCATTCCTGTGTGACAAGATAGCTCTACTGGAGAGACACTCTCCCAGCACCACAGTCATCCTGGCACTCTTACGGTGAGCAGAGAACTGAGACACTATGTGGGAGGGGGCTTCAGAGAGAGGGGGGTTTGGCAAATATGTCGAAGACATATTTAAGAATACTGAGGCGTGGAGCTTGAGGATTCTCACATCGGGAGCCAGAGCCAAACAAACCATTTCAGTTCCTTGCCAGACTAGACTGCAGAATCTACTTTTGCATACCAGAGATGGAACTGGTGATTGGGGGCAATGCAAAGTTACTCTTGTTTATTACATGCAGTATAAAGGAGCTAGCACTGTTTGAAAAGGCAGATAAAGACACAGGATAAGGGTGTGAAGATGGAGCGATGTGTGGCTCTGCAGGTTAGGACGCTGTGCCCTGATCAACGGGATGATACGGGTGATGTCACTGTTGGGCCCTTGAGCAAGTCCCCTAACTGCATTTGCCCCAGGGACTGACTTTGAATAAATAAATGTAAATGTGTGAACAATGACCAAAGGATGGAAGGGCCCTTCAAAGTGAATGTGAAAGTATAACAGGAGCTTTTGACTATTTAACCTGCAGGGTAACTGCATGAGGCCCCAGGTGACCTGAAATCTCTCTCCTGCAGGGCAGTGTTTCTGCGGCTGGTCAGCCTAGGCGTGCTGCTCTTTACTCTGTGGAACGGGATCACCTGTAACGGAGTCACTGAAAGCGCGGCCTGCTCGGTTTGCCAGTATAACCACAAGCAATATCCGGTACATGCTGTCCCCGTGGTGAGGTGCGATGCTCTGCTGCGGTCTCGGAGGAAGAACATGAGGATCACGGTGTTCTGCCTGTCTTACACAGTGCTGGGAGACTCGAGTGGGACAGGAGATGTACAAACTGACCGTCTTTGACTTTATCACCGTCATCGCTGTGATGATTTTGGTGGAGTTTCCGCGCAGGTTAGTGTTTGGCGTTCGGGGCGGCTCAGCCTCACCTTTCCTTTATGAGTGAGACCTATGCTGACTCATGCTTCCTGTACTTATACTGTTTTGAAGAAAAGAAGTCAGAGAGACTCTGCTCTTCACATTCCTGTGGCTCCTTTCTGGTTCTCTCTTTGCCCATTTATATAGGATGCTGGTGGATCACTGCCCCTGCAAGCTGGCTCAGTTTGTGGGGCGACAGGAGTTTGTCGTTCCCCAAAATGTTCTCGGTCTGGTCTACGGCCAGACAGTGGTGTGGACCGGTGCCCTCTTCTGTCCACTCCTGCCAGCCATCAACACCATAAAGTTCATAATCATCTTTTACTGCAGAAAGGTACTACTTGGTGTGCTGAACTCCACAGGATATGTTTGCATATAAATTTGCAAGTCAGTCTACATTCCTTTGCTTTGATTTCCACACTCCAAAGGCCTATCTGCTTCTGAGGAGGTGTTTTGAAAAGCCCTTGTGTCCCTGAATGGCTGAAGCTCAGTCACTAAAGTTTCTGTTGTAGGAGGTCACCACAGGTCTATTCTGTGAGGGAATAAAAAACTAAGAATAGATTTGCGGCTGTCAGCTGAAATTTAGGGAGTATTTTTACACAAGTTCAGAGGCTTATTAACACAATAGAGGGACATCAAAATACTCACCTCAGAGCAAGACCCAGTTTCTTGTCTCTTTTTAGTTTTCCCTGTTTTTTCCCATCGTTTTTTTTCCCCCCGAGTATTCATTTTGTAAAAGTGCTTTTTTTCACCCAGTTTTCTACCATGAATGCAGTGTTGCAGAAATTTTCAACGAGAGACCTGATTCATTTATAAAGAGAATTTTTGGTAACACTTTACCAAAAACCATGATGCACTACAGATACCTTCATAATGCATTATAATGCATTTGAAAGTATTATTAACATGGTTATAAATATTTATAAAAAGGAATAACACATTATAGCCAAGTTTATTATGCATTATGAATGCTCTATGCAGCTCTCATCTATAATGCACTGTAAATATCTTCATAATGCAGTACAAAGCATTCTTAATTCTTATACTGACCATTATAATGCATGAAAGCTTCATAGAACATTCATAATGCCTAATAAACATGGCTGTAATAGTTTATGGTTTTTTTCTAAATAGTTATAGCTGTTTATAATACCATATGAATGCATTGTAATGCATTATGAAGGTATTTATAATGCATTATACATGAATGCTTTAAGTAAAATGTTATTGAATTTTTTATTGCATAATTGGTCTAACAATCAAACTAAAGTATAAGCATAAGTTCCCCAAACTGTTTGAACAGCGCACACATGCACATCGACCAGGGTCAAGGCAGTGAGCAAAGTTAAACAATTTCTCAGGGCAGACATAGGGCCCAAGCAAAGTAGATTACATCATCCCGAAGATGCAACAGAAAGAACTGTTTCACAGACAGAACATTCCCATGGACTCAGGCCTAGCATAGCACCTGGCCTGATAACAAGCCGATCCTCCAGACCCACGGGACAGGGAGGAAGGATAGCCAAAACAGGGAAGGAAAGTGGCCCAACGTGCCCTCGGATCTACTTCTCAGGGCCGCGGCTACAAGACAGCAGAAGACGACACTACTGGGAAAGGTCATTTACAGCCCTGCACCCAAGGCCTGTAGGTCCACAAGAGTGCTGCATGCAGTCTGTGTTCATTTCTAGGCCTTTACAAACTTCCTCCACAGCAGAACCGTAACATGCACTGTATTCAATTTAACTGTGAATCCAATGAGGTGTAATGTGCCCCCGCCCTGTGCCACCTAGGACCGACTCCAGAACCCCCATGACCTTGACCAGCGTAAGTGGTTGGAGGATGGATGGATAGATGACAGCTTTTTTTTTTTTATAGATTACACTTTTCCAAAATTGCCGCCCGGCAGATCGGACCTTCCGTTCCAACAGCTCCAACTTCTTCTTTCTCCTGGTGCTCCTTCTGGGCTGGAGTCTCGCCACGGTGGCACTGATCTATGCTGCGGTGATGTGGGTACCAGCCGAAGACTGACCCTGACCCCTCATTCACTTTAGACTTTGAGTATCTGGGACCTTAACAGAGGGAATTTCATTATTAAACAAGCCTTTTGTGTAGGGTGTGGTTTTCTACGCTTTCGGCAATATAATAAAGGAAATACTGTCACCTCATTTAAAAATAACAGGGGGGGAAACTTGCATTGGAATTCTTTACCATTTATTGGAAAATGAAAAATGCCCCTGCAGTGGATGGATAGATGGATGGATGGATGGATGGATAGATGGATGGATTAACAAAAATGAACAGCATCAGATGGGAGACTGAAGCCCGATCATTGTGTTTCTCTTCAGGATTCATCCTTCCATGGGCTGTGGTCCGTTCCGCTTTCTCTCCATGATGTGGAGTGTTGTGCCTGATTCTTTGCAGTTACTCTCAAACTCCAGCAGAGATTTTTTGTACTTCATGGGCTCACAGGCATTCTGCATCCCCCTCTTTGTTTTGCTATGGTGAGTAGTAATAATAATAATAATAATAATCGATCCTTTATTGTCCCCATGGGGAAATTCTTTTTACACCTCCCTCAACTTGCTCTTTGTAGACTAGTGGTCTCCTGCTTCCCCTTGTCTCTTTACCTGGTCAGTCATCTTTACAGATCTATCTACTAAATTCTCCGTTTGGACCCGTGGTTACGTCTGTCAGATTGCATCTATTATTGACACATGGAACTCATGAATATCTTTGTTAACCAAAAATACTTATTGAGAAGGATTAGATTTCCTAATAATTGTTCTTCTACTCTTAATAGTGTAGTCTTGTGCTACATAGCTGCCCTGGCTTCAATTTATGGAAAGACTGTGTCCCTGCTTCAATCACAGCTTAAAATGGTAAGTTTTCTGTCCTTCAAGACTTCGTCATAACAGTACAAATAACATAACATTAGTACAAAAACATACAAATCCAAAAACATTTCTGACTGCACTTTTGCCATTAAACGGTCATTTGGAGAAGTCGATTAAGAAATTAACTGTTAATACTGACAACTACCAAATGCAATATATATAGTTTTCTACTTTTGCTATTTTTAACTTTGCAAAAAAATTTGAGATATTATAATCCATGTATTTTTGAAAGAGTTCCTTACATGTATTAACGTAAACTGGTTGAGTAAAACCACTGACCACTTACCAGAAAAAGCAGTTGGAAAATGGATGGATGGACAAACATTCTTTTATTCTCCAACTTTTCCATATTGCCTTACAGACATGGAATAATGTTAAAAATGGGAATGTAATATACCAAAGGCATACAAAAAGCTAATACTGTATTTTAACCAGCATATAAATCTAAAAACACACATATGTGTGGTTGGTGATTTATTTTGACTGCAGGAGGGACGTGATAAGCAGTTCTTGGTCAAGAGGATAAAGGAACTCAATAGCGCTAGCAGAGGAAAGAAACGGTGAGGCCTGGAATCCAACGAGCAGAGACTCATTTGGAATGAAATGAGAGGAACATCTCATGGAGATACTCTTCAAGACACAACAATTAATGCCACATTTTATTCTTCTAACAGACCATTAGGTTTACCTCATGTAATGGTTCAGTAAGTGTTTTCTTTTTTAAATATATGAACTATTGATCTATTATTGAATGTTTTATTGTTAGATGTGTCATAATTTGAAACAATAGTCATGTCCATGGTATGCTGGACATTGGTTTGTGGATCACTGTCATTTATGGTGGTCAAAGAAAATCTCTGATTACTTCAGAAAAATCTGTATTTCTGATTTTTTTTTTACTAACATGTAGTCTGCCCATAAATAATAATGAAGTTTATTAAGAAATATTTGAAAATCAAAAATATGAATATTTGAATTTAGCAGCTGCTGGAGCCTTGTCTTTCACAGAAGTTTAGTTCTTGTACCAGTTCCTGAGGCCCAAGTCAGTTGATTGGTATTTAGATCTGTCTTCCAGCGTCCCAGGTTTGACTGGAACAAGGGCATTGGAGAGAGTTTGATATTGGGGGAGACAACACTCCATAAATAAAATGCAAAGGTCTTTTTATTTGAGGGGGGGGGCAACTGAAGGCAAATTAAATGTTGAGGGATACATGACCCCTCCCCATTACTACACCCCTGAAGTCTACACCAAGTGTCTTGCTGAAGGGTCCAGCAGCAGCATCACTCTACCAAATAGGGAATTTGGACTGACTGCAGGAGCACAAGGTAGGGGGAGTAGGGGAATCTATCAAATAGTACACTCCTAACTTTGTACAGTACTAATGCAATTAGTAACATCAGTCACACTACAAAATGCTACCAAATAAACCACTACTTATTCATAATACTGTGATTATAACATTTATTTTTCTGGTTTGTGTGAAATCGTTAAGAATAATAAAGCCATTCTGCGTACCACCAAGCTGAAATGGTGTAGTCTTGACTCTTGGTTGACAGTGTTGGGAAATTGATGCTCAAGTGCCAGATTAACACAAATGGATAAGAAAAGGTTTTACCCATCAGGTGCCCAGTTCATTAAAAAAGAGGAAAGAAGAGGAGAAACATGCAAAATATAAATGTATACAACTATTTAATCTCTTTATGAGTATAATGTTATGCATGTAATGAAATAGGCCAGTGTAACACTAGGCATGTTTGTTAGCCAATAGGGTGACAGTGTAATAGTTATATTCTCTTATTTTTAAATAAATGTACATATTACAATTTGTTTTCTATCTGTCTTTCTTACTTCTTTTTGATATTTATTATTCTTGTTCTGTGTATATTTTTATATTGACATAGTTTTACATTTCATTAATTATCTGTATCGTTCCAAATGTGGGGGCTCGCGCTGGGCGCCATTCAATCTAGAACCGCCAGTGATTAAAGCCCCAGAAGTACGCAGACGGCTCTGTACCCAATTTTGCGCGTCGATCCTGCTACCTCTCGCACGCTTAGCGAGCACACTACCAACTGAGGAAAATTTTCATTAAAACATCTTTCGTTTTAATTGTCCATAAACTCAGAAATTAAAATGTTTTCAGTTTTAATTTATAAGCCTATTCATAATAACTTATAAAGGGAGATCCATTATATCTGTTTTAAATGACGTATGAACAACGTACGTGTGAATCATTTTATTTCCAAGTTAACATGGCAAGCAAATGCAGAATATCATGATAAAAACAGTTTTACAGTGAACGTATGTGAATATCAATAATACAGAAATGTAACACTACTGAACAAATACATACCGTACACATGCGCAAAATATCTTCAGAAACATTTATAAAGATTATAAAGCCAATTAAAAAAACAATATGAAACTGTACAATAAATTTATACAATTTTTCCAAAACTATATTACAGATGTCAATGCACATTTATTTATTCTGGGAGCATTCATGCATCCGCGACCCAGATGGATAACGCGGTATAGATAATGGATGGATGGCATTCATGCATAAATGGAAAACATGTATGACAAACAATCAGTATTCAGACCAAATGACTAATGAAGTGTCGCGTTCTGGCCAATCACGTTGCGGTTTGGAGGTGGGACTTAATTTCAGACCAATAGCGTCTTTTTTTATCCGGAAGCTGCAAGGGAAACAACTTCGTTTTCTTTTCAAAATGTCGCTCTGACCCCAGTCTCTTTTTCGTACATTGGATGTAGAGCTTTGATGGCAAATTATTATCCACACAATTACATTAGTAATCGAAGATGAATATCTTACCGAAGAAAAGCTGGCATGTCCGGAATAAAGATAACATTGCCCGTGTGCGCCGAGATGAAGCGAAGGCGGCCGAGGACGAGAGGGAGGTCCGGAGGCGGATAGAGAGAGCGGAGCAAGAGGTAAATCCTACGGCGAATGGCACGTCGCTTTCATCGGTGTAGCTCGGCTGGAGTTTTATCGATGCAGCCAGGTGCGCAGATGTAGTTACAGTATTGGTTAGGGACCAAATCGGCCCCGATACCGCAAAACACACACGGTACTCCGACGGTATTCTTGGGGAAATGCCGTCTGTAGTGAAACATGCACGCCCTCGCATGCACCCACATATCCAACCATCTATCCATGAGAACAGGAACATAATAACCATCAAGTTTATTCCAGGAAGCACAAAGCAGGAGGCCTGGTCAGGATCCAGACACACTCACCAGGGGTAATTTAGAGACACCGGTAGGCCAGGATAAAGGCACTGGTGTACCCAGAGAAAGTGACATGATGAAACCTACTTCTACTGTCTTTCCTTATTCCCAATAATGCATTTTTAATTTTATATAAGCAGAAATTAAGAGGTGACAGGTCGCGAGTGCTGAAATATCGAGTGCCTTTTTATGGTGACATATCTGCCATGATGTGCAAATAAGTGAGTAATTATCAGGAATTGTCTGTCTTATCTTCCTCACCAGGCACGAACAGACTATTTAAGACGAAAATCGCGGGCAGCTCTGTGCAAGGGAGAAGAAGTCAAAGCAGTGGTGGGCACACCGGAGCTGGGCGGTGAGGAGGAGCATCTGAACCTCTTCCCGGTCGAGGAAGCTGGGCAGAAGAAAGGCAATGAGGAGTATCTGAGGGAGAAGAAGGAAGAGAAGGTGAGAAGCTCCATTTTTTTCTGGTTAATATAGTGAATGTTTCACAATCTCTTGTTTGCCATACATGCCTAGCCACAGGCAGCAGTAACACTTTCCAGCCTCAGAGAACAGGCCATTGCTGGGCTGGGTGGGATCCTTACAGCCTAGTTCATACTTCTCTTTAATGTGCGTGCGCTTTCAGGCTGGGGACAGTCACGTGGCAGCTTGTGTTTGTACTACCTTTGGCTGCGGCTGTGGATGGTTGCAGTCGGTGCATGCAAACAGCAGCGATACTCCACCAGACCAGCAAAGGGCAGATGTATTGCAAAAAACATAGATACAAGCAGTGTAGTGAAATGGGTACATTTTTATGAAGCTTTAAAGTTGTTAGCCAAGGCTTGGGTGGTATTATTGTAATAAGGCACACCACAGGATTTTTGTAAGTATTATATAGTGCTATAAATTACTGTATAATGTATGGACAGTCTGTAAAATTAGATATGTGGCTAACTCCTACCCTCCTCATACAGCTGCTCACCAAGCCCCATCTTATCTTTTTGAACTGCTTCTCTCCTACCAGCCACCCTGTACTCTTCCGGCTCTCTCCTCATCCCCCCATCCAAACTCCATGGTTATGACGACGGGCATTTTCCCGTTTAGCTGCCCCACTTTGGGTCTCCCTCCCCAGTGACATTTGTCAGTCAATCTCTCTCTCAGATTTCAAAACAAAGGCATATAACCTTTTCAAAACAAAGGCTCAGGCATATAACCTTCCCAATCTATAGTGTTTTATTGTTTTCTTAATTCTATGTAAGCATCTTTGACATCTTGAAAAGCACTATATAAATAATATGTAATAATAATAATAATAATAATAATAAGACAGGTTGGGCAGTGCATGTCTGCTTGTGCATCTGGCTGATTGCAGCCTTGTGGTCATGCTGTATTCTCCTAAACCAGGTGGTGATGATCCCTGTCAGGGTGCTTTCGATGGTGGCTTTGTAGAAGTTCTTTAGTATTTGAAGGGGCAGCATGAAATTCCAGAGATACCAAAGGTGATGCAGGCATTGGTGACCCTTCCTCACTAAGGAATCAGTGTGCAGATACCCAGTCAGGTCTTTAGTTTTGTGAACATTGAAATACTTGAAGCTTTCTGCCCTATCTCCCAAAGCATCCTTTATCCTGATGTGCTGGTAGATCCTCTGCTGTTTCCTCACAAAGTCCACAGTCAGCTCCTTTGTATTATTAGGAGCAGACTGTTTTCCTGGCACCAAAATAAGCTCTTCACCTGGCCTGCTCCTTGTTATTGGTGACCAGGTCTACCACAGCTGTCTCGTCTGCAATCTTGACAGTGACGTTGGAGTCGAATTTGTACAGCAGTGATCCCAGTTCCAGTCCGGCCTGCAACACAGTTTGCAGATTCTCCCGCTCAAGCACACCTACTAATCCTGGCAATTAGCTGGTTAGCTGAATAAGGTGTGTCTGAGCAGGGAAACCTGCAAACTGTGTTGCAGACCAGCCCTCCAGGACCGGAACCGGGGAACACTGATATACAGAATGTACAGGAAGGTGTGCTATGTGGAGTTAATGGACGATGTGAAACCTTGGTTTGTGTATATGAAAGCGACAGAAAAACTCTGGTCTGCAAGGTGGAGAGTGAAATTACAATGAGCTTAAGACAAGTTTGCTTTGTTTTCTTCTTTTGAAAGTTAAGTGATGCTGACAAATTTGAAGCCTAGAAAAAAAATAGGCGCAAACAGGGCTGGTCAGTGCTATAGGCAACAGGTCGGCTGCCTGAGCACCAGCTTCAGAGTGGCTGACTTGCCAGCCAATGGCGTTTTGCCTCAGAGGGGGTGCGGTGATGCTCGCCTAGTGCACCACATTGACTAGGCCCTGGGTTCAGGTATGAACTTCCTGTAACATGCCACTCCTTCATATTATTACCGTTGGACAAATACAATGCAAGGTTTTGAAAATTCAATTGAACTAAAATACAGCAACTTTGTGAGCTAAGATAAACATGTACAGTTAAAGTCAAAATTATTAAGGAGCTGATCGTGGACTACAGGAGAGGAGGGTGGAGGGTACTCCCACATCTAAATCAAGGTAACAGAAGTGGAGAAGGTCAGCTGCTTCTTAGGAAATAACATCTGCAAGGATCTGAGCTGGTCACGCCCCATAAGAGGTCATGAAGTCAGCAAGACAGTGGCTCACCTTCCTTCAGCGGCTGAGGAGGTTCGGTATGAGCTTCAAAATACTCACCAACTTTTACCAATGTACCACAGAGCATTCTGTCTGGCAGCATCATTGCTTGGTACGGCTGCTGTGATACCCATGATGGTGGTCAGTAGGGCTGCACGATTTGGGTAAAATATCGAATCGCGATTTTTCTGACAGAAATTGCGAGTACGATTTGATTTGCGATTTTAAAACATATGACGCAGCATGAGATACCATCAGTATTAACTGGTCTATATTCTAATGCAAGGATGAGAATTTAAAGATGTGATGTGTCAAGTTAAATAAAGTAATAATGAAAACAATTGCAGCAAAAAGAAAAATAGCGATCTCGCAGGTAACGCTTATTACCCTCTTAATAACACTAGAACCGCCTTTTCCCACACCAATGAACAAGCAAGAAATACTTCGGTGTATGCGGCCCTTTTGTTTGCGCTATTGTGTTGTTAGCTGCTGTTATTAACAACTAATAACGCTCAAAAAACCGTAATGTTTATAACAGAGTGGCTGTTCTGTCCTGAAACTGTAAAGCTAGAATTTTTTAATCGTAGTATGCATTTTATAAAATGTTGAATAAATAGAAGTCGTTTGTTGGTGATTTCATGTTGGTCGAAGTTTCCGCTTTTTAACAACTGTATATGGTTATTTTCTATACAAATCAATTCAGGTGAAACAAAAAATGTACATGTTCATGGTTGCAAACTCTTTCAGACGGCAAATCTATATTCCATTCTGAACTTAAAACTAGCTGCATCAAAAACGTTACGGCAGTTTGCAAACCCTACAGACTATTTACAAGGTAATAAAACTTACATACATGTAAATGTGTGTGCAGAACAGA